ACCGTTGCAGATTTGCTTTAGAAATAGTTGAGGCCGTTGTAAATGAGATAGGAGCAGATAGAGTGGGTATACGATTATCCCCGTTTGCAAACTACATGGAATCAGAGGACTCAAATCCGAAAGCTTTAGGTCTTTATATGGCTGAATCTTTGAATGCATACAAGATTCTTTATTGCCATATGGTGGAACCAAGGATGAAAGAATTAGGCGAAGCAGTCGAATGCCCTCACAGTCTTGTGCCGATGAGAAAGGCATTCAAAGGAACTTTTATTTCTGCTGGAGGGTATGATATGGAAGACGGTAACAAAGCCTTGTCTGAAAACCGAACAGATCTTGTTGCTTATGGTCGTTGGTTTTTGGCAAATCCAGATTTGCCAAAAAGATTCGAGCTTAAGGCTCCTCTTAACCAGTATGATAGGAACACGTTTTATACGCCTGATCCTATCGTTGGATACACCGATTACCCATTTCTGGAAACCACGGTTTAAGTTCGTTAGAGTCGATCTAAGCACACAAGTTTGAAGAAATTAGAACAAAGATTCTGATAAGTTGGAAATGTTGAGTAAAAGCATTGATCAAATTAAAGGGTCTGAAATAATACATGTTTATTTACTTGAAGTTATTTGAGGGTGATTGGCAAATTGCAATATAGTGTTTGTTTCCTTGTTTTATGAAATTAATAAATACTCTGTTATTATTCCGCCAGCAAATGGTCTCTCTGTCTTGGTTAAATTCTACTAGAAGGGTACTCGCATAATGCAGCGAGATACATCTTAATTTTAATATTTCATTTTATTAATAACTACTTTTGTGATCAACCCTTTTGGTTTGTGAGATTTGAAATTGAATTCGTTGCGTTTGGTTGAAAGGAAAATCCGAGATTAACAAATAATACTTGCCTAACTTGTTTTAAGATTCTTTTTGAAGATCATGATATTAGACATGAATTGATAGCGATGTATACGTTGCAACAAAATGGCGTAGCACAACGGAAAACCGAATGAGCAATGGCTTGGAGAGAAACCCATTATTAAGTCATTTTAAAACATGCTTACACGCTTTATAAACTTATAAACTAAGTACATCGAACATTGTAACGAGCTGGGATGTTCAATTTGACGAAAGACTAGAAACTTCTTTTTTGAAAAGATGACGGTGTCACTAGCAAATGTTATTGAGACAAACAAAAGATACACTTAAAAGAGTACGGTATTACTGCCTTAGTGCATAGTAACCGATTAATGTTGATTGTTGGGTTAATTAGGGTTCTCTTTCATCACCCATTTTTTCAATTTCAATATAATGCATCAGGTGTTCATAACTATTTTGTTCCCAAAATGTGCACAATGTGATCACAAAGTATGCGCGCTACTAGTGAATCCAGATCTTGTGAATGTCATGTATTCTCGTTAATCGAGATGGTGTGCATATTATGCACATTGTCATCCCACTACATAACCCCGTTTGAAAATTGCCCAAGTTGTGCACAATGTGTTGTGTGCACTATGTGTTCAAAAAATTGGAGTGGTAGTCGAACGTATTAGGGATGAATGTGTTTTGTGGATACTGTGTTCATAAAAATTGGGATGGAGGTTGTTCTAATGGTTGGGGATGAAGAAGGAGAGAGAAGAGACAGAAAAGGGAGGAAGGAGGAGAGAGAGAGAAGATTTATAAATACCCATAATGCATTTATTTGATTTTTGTATAAAGTCACCAAAACTAATAATTTCCTAATTTAATTTCATTTAGTGGCTTAAAATTGACCTCACAGTTCTCACAAATTGTCAAGTTCTCAAAAAAAGACCTCCATTTTGATATACTACAATCTTACCCGGTAAAATAAATCACAGTGTTGACTACTAAAAGTAAGTGCTTATCGAGTAAACATTTAGGTAAACTACCCCTAAATCATATATTGTTTTTTGAATATTAATATGGGGATTTAAAATAGCATGCAAAACAAAGTAAAAAAGAATCACTAACGTGGTGTTAGTGTAATTAACTCACATAGACACAAAATATACCAATTATAAAATTAAAGTGTCTTTTAATAAATAAAAAAAACTTTGGTGGATTTTCTGTAAGTAGTCTGAAAGTTGAAGGGTGAAAGTGGTTATATACTTATATGTATGTATTTGAGAATAACTAGAAGGGTACTCGTGCAATGAATCGAAACACATATTGATTTCAGTGTTTCGTTTTATTTCTTTTTTATATCGATATAATACGGTTTTATGTGGTCTTAAGAAAACGATAATGTTTTTATTTTTAAATAAAATATAAATTTAAAAATATCATAAAATTTTGAAAAAAAAAAATATCGATATCAATATTAAATTAATCTTTTTAAAAGTTCTTGTGTTTTGGTGTAAT